GTCCTTGGCTTTTTTGAGTTCAGCTTCCAACAGCGTCTCTTTCAGCTCATTGCGAAGATTTTTCTCCAAGAGTTCCCTCTGCCAAGACATCGTACATTGTCCTGCTCAAGTGTTGCCCTATCGTTGGACCACTGCTGCTCGCTTCAGGCAAGCGGTTTCACGACGAATATGTTGCTTAGCGAGCTCCTCGGATGTGACACACCGGAACGCTGAACTGGCGTCCCTTGTGTTGCACTGGCCTGAACCCAAATGGCTGCGGAGGGTTTCAGCTGTCATCTTGAGGGACATGGCGTCTGGGGACGCCGCTGGGGCTCTCACTGGCCGTATCTGGACCATCTTGGATAATACTCGATCCCTCTCGGTGCCCTCTGGGGTCGTCTTGGGGTTCTCTAGGAGCTTCTTCGAACTTCAAGAGCCTCCTGCCGCCGGGTTTCATTGTTGGGGGGATGTCTCACGCGAAACTGCAATTTGTCCCAGAACCACCCCCAAATCATTGAAATGTATTGTGTGCTGGTGGTGTTATACGAGCATGTTGAACATCCTGTACGTTTGGTGACCCTGACGTCACACGTCGCGATCTGCGTGAGGGGTGCGTCTGCTTCTCGGAATGTTGAAGATGCCTCAAACGAAAGGACTGGACAAAGCACGAACGGGACCGTCCGGCCCAACGAATCACCTTTGAGCTTCGCTCCCTTGAATAAGTGCGCATGATATCAAACAAACAAACGTACATACATGCATGCATGCACGCATGCACGCACGCATGCATGCATGCTTACATTCAAACATACATACACACATACGCACATACATGCATATATACATACGTGCACACATGCATGCAAGCATGCATTCATGCATACATACCTACAGACTTGCATGCATACATACATACATACATACGTACATACATACATGCATACATGCATACAGGCAGACATGCAGACGCACAGACATACATACGTACAGGCAAACATACATGCATCAAACCATATATACATATATATATATACAAATGCATATACTAGAACCATCGCGCGCGTTGCGCGCGCGCTCAGGTTCTAGTTGAGGTCGCCGCTTACGTGCGATGCCCGCGACGATTCTTACCACGAAGACGGCGGCGTGCACTGCAAGCCACGTGTTCCGGAAGCGCACTTCTGGAAAATGGGAACGGAGATCCCCGATCCTCATCGTTCGCACGCCATGTTCCGGAGGAGCGTTCCTGGAGCATGGGGCGCCAGAGGCTCCCCCGGTCTTCCGCCCTCCCGGACTATCCTGCCGAGAAATTTTTGGGTTGTGTAGGGCCGGTCTTGCGGGCTCCCTGGGGCTCTCTGGGCCCGCCCAGGGCTGTCCGGGAGCGGACCTGGAAGCGCGCTGGGCCCTATGGGAGCGTCGAAAAGCCGAAAAGACAAGAAGGCCGAGATCCTCCAAGTCCTAGGTAGAACGAACGATTTAGGCCTGTTGGGACACTCTTGGGGGTGCTCCTGGAGGCGTCTTGAGCTATGTTTGAAGCCTCTTGGGAGCTACCTGGGGCCTCCTGGGGCTGTCTTGAGGCGGAAGCCCTGGGTTTTCCGGACGCAGTCCGTGTCTTGGTGGCACCTCTCGGGCCTGTTTTGGGGCACTCGTGGGTTGCCCTGGGCGCTTCTTGGGCCAGCCTTGGGCTCTCTGGGACCGCCTCGGGGCGGCCTTGGGCGTTTCTGGAGCTGTTTGGGGGCGTTCTCGGAGGCCTCCTGGGCCGCCCAGGAGCGTCGGACAGCCGCAGAGATTGGAAGGCCAAAACCCTTCGAAAACTATGGTAAAACCATCAATTTGTAGCCTGCTGGGGCCCTCGTAGGAGTGCTCTTGGAAGCGTTTAGAACCATGTTGGAGGACTCTTGGGGGCTGCCTGGGGCCTCCGGGGTCACTGTTGAGGCGGGAGCCCTGGGTGTTCGGTACGTGGTCCCTCTCTTGGGCCCTTCTTGGGCTTGTTTTGGAGCCTTCGTGGGTTGTCGTGGGCGCTTCTTGGGTCAGCCTTGGGCTCTCCGGGGCCGGCTTGGGATTGTCTGGGGGGCCTCTGGGGCTGCTTGGGGGCGGACCTGGAGACCTCCTGGGCCGTCGTGGAGCGTCGTACAACCGAAAAAAACAAAAGGCCAAAATCCTTCCGAAACCCTCGGAAAACCGTCAATTTTGGCCTCCCAGGGCTCTCTTGGGAGTGTTCCTGGAAGCGTCTGGAGCCATGTTGGAGGCCTCCCGAAACCTCTACCACGTGCTTCGGCGACATGGATCGAAGATGGGAGCCATACCTGGTGCTGAAACAGCACCAGGGTTCGTCCAGAGCCGCTCGGGAGACGCCCCGGAGCGGCTATGAGGAGGCCCGGGGGGGGGGTCCCCCCATGGCGAGTCGAGGCACCTGGCCAGAGGCCCCCGGCCCCGTACCCCGACAGATATATATATATATATATATATATATATATATATATATGTATATATATATATATGTACTAGAATCATCGCGCGCGCTTCGCGCGCGCTCAAGTTCTAGCTAGGCTGGATGTTCGAACTCTTAGGGCTTCCTGTTGGGCTTCCGGGAGTCTCAGGCTAGAAATGTTCGTTCGGCCTCCGCCTGGACCGCTGAGCTCTTGGGGGCCTCTTTCCAGCCTTCTGGATGCTGCTTGAGGCCGCTTGGGAGCCTCTTGGGGGCCTCTTGGGCTCTCTCGGGGGCCTCTTGGGGGCCTCCTCGGAGCATCCTGGACTGCTTCTTGAAGTCGTCATGGGACCTTCTTGGCATGTCTTCGGGGGCCTCTTCGAAAGAGTTTTGAAGCCTTTTGGGTGCCGTCTTGGGGCCTCTTGGAGCCTCTTTTGGGATTCTTGAGGGCCTCTTGGGGCCTCTTGGGGGCCTCTTGGGGCTTCCCGGGAGCCTCTTGGGGCCTCTTGGGGGCATCTTGGGGCGGAGAGCTTGATTTTTCAGTTCGCGTTCCCTCGGCTGGGCCCCTCTTGGGGCCTTCTTGGGACCCTCTTGCGCAGTCTTGGACGGCTCTGGGGCCATCTCGAGGCTCTCTTGGGCCGTCTTAGGGCCCTCTTGGGGGCCTCTTGGGCCGTCGCTGAGCGGTTTTGGGAGCCTCTTGGGTGGTGCTGTAGCGCCGGAAACACGAAACAGCGAGAATGCAAAAAAAACATTGAAAATTAATGCAAATCGGCGATTTTGCCCTCTCCGGGCGCTCTTGGGCGGCATCTCAAAAGGCCTCTTGGTGCGTCTTGGGGGCCTCCGGGGCAGTTTAAAACGCATCGTGCGACCTCTTGGGGGCCTCGTGGGGCCTCTTGGGGGCTTCCTGGGGGCCTCTTGGGGCCTCTTGGGGGCATCTTGGGGCGGAGACCTTGATTCTTCAGTTCGCGTTCCCTCTCTTGGGCCCATTGTGGGTCCTTTTTGGGACCCTCTTGCGCCGTTTTGGGCAGCTGTGGGGCCGTCTCGGGCCATTTTGGGGGCCTCTTGGGGGCCTCTTGGGCCGTCGCGGATCGGTTTTGGGAGCCTCTTGGGCGGTGCTTTAGCGTCGGAAACACGAAACAGCGAGAATGCAAAAAAACATTGAAAACTAATGCAAATCGGCGATTTTGCCCTCTCGGGGCGCTCCTGGGCGGCATCCTAAAGGCCTCTTGGGGCATTCTTGGGGGCCTCCAGGGCAGTTTAAAACGCATCGTGGGACCTCTTGGGGGCCTCGTGGGGCCTCTTGGGGGTTTCCCAGGGGCCTCTCGGGGCCTCTTGAGGGCATCTCGGGGCGGAGAGCTTGGTTTTTCAGTTCGCATTCCTTCTCTTGGGCCCCTCTTGGGGCCATCTTGGGACCCTCTTGCGCCGTCTTGGGCAGCTGTGGGGCCGTCTCGGGACTTTCTTGGGCCCTCTTGGGGGCCTGTTGGGGGCTTCTTGGGCCGTCGCGGACCGGTTTTGGGAGCCTTTTTTCTGACGATGTTTTAGCGCCAGACACGCGAAACAGCGAGAATGCAATACATGTATATATATATATATATATATGTGTGTGTGTGTTGTGAGTGTTGTGTGTGTGTTGTGTGTGTGTTGTGTGTGTGTTGTGTGTGTTGTGTGTGTTGTGTGTGCGTGTGTGTGTGTGTGTGCGTGCGTGCGTGCGTGCGTGCGTGCGTGCGTGCGTGCGTGCGTGCGTGCGTGCGTGCGTGCGTGCGTGCGTGAGTGCGTGCGTGCGTGCGTGTAATAGCAGGATTCCCCAAATTTTCCTACATTTTCTGGGGTTCTGTCTTCCTCCCCACTTCCCAGATTGTCCCCTCTTTTCCTGGGAGTCGACGATTGACTGCGTCTGTGTGTTTCTTCCCTCCTGAGCAGAGGCCCGCCCCCTCTGCCCTCCCTCCTTGCCGCGCCGCCGAGTCCGGGGACCCTGGAGCCCGAGGCACCCCGGGAGCACGACCCGCGCCCCCCAAAGCCGCGCCGCCGCCCCGAGGCCCCCGCCGCGGCGCGCCCGACGGCGCGGGTCCCCGCACCGTTCGCTGCGACCTCTCCGGCTTTGGCCTGCGGCTCGAGCGATCCGTGGACGAGACTGGTGCCGGGATGGTTCAAAGGAGCCCAGGGGCACACAAAGAAAGAGGCACAAATCCCAGGATTCCCCACCTTTCCCCACATGTTCTGGGTTTTGGTCTTCCCCCCCCCCCCCCACGTCCGATAGTTTCCCATATGTCCCTGGGAGTGCCAACGTGTGCTTAACGTGTGTTAGCGCCAACGTGTGCTTAACCACCGAGGCCCTTCCATACGACGCAGGCGATGCAATGCTCTGCTGGTGTGACCGAACGGGGTGAGCACACAGTAGGCTAACACACGCCGACGCCGACGCCGACGCCGACGACGCCGACGACGCCGACGCCGACGCCGACGCCGACGACGACGACGACGACGACGACGACGACGACGACGACGACGACGACGACGACGACGCAGCCGCCGCCGCCGCCGCCGCCGCCGACGCCACCGACGGCGGCGGTAGCGCCAGCGGCAGCGGCGCGTCCGCCTGGTAGAAATTGGCGGCCAGCTGGCTGACGAGCTGCGCCGCGAAGGGGACGATCTCGGCCGGGAAGCTGCAGACCAGCGCCTCCAGGCCCTCCGCGATCTCCTCCGAGGGGGCACGGGCTCGGGCGGGGAGGCCGCGGCCTGGCATCGCCGAGGCACCGCCGGTGGGCCCGCGGATGGGGAATCCAGACGCTCCTGGGCGGGGAGGGGGGCCCAGCCCCGGCCGGCGGCGAGCAGGCGACTGGGGGTCGACGCTTCCCTCCTGGGCCAGTCGCAGCTGCGCCACGAGAAAGCACTCACAGGCGCCCGCCGGCGAGCGTGCCCCGTGCCTTCGGGGAGGGCGGCGGCGCACGAACCCGCTGGCCCTCAATGCTGATTGGTGCACCGCCACCCTCCCGTGAAGCCCACGAGCAATCCGCTGGGGGCGTGTCTGTGCACACGCTTTCCCTGCGAAGCATTGGATGATCGCTCTGGGGACCTCCTGGGTGCGTCGGTGCTGCGTCGACCGTCCGCCGACTCGAGTCGAGCTAGAGTCGAGCGTGAGTCGAGCTGAAGTCGAACCGCAGTCGATCTGGAGTCGCACTGGAGTCGAAGCAGAGCCGAACAGCTCCGCCGGGTGGGCCCTGGGAAGGCCCCCAAGACGAGCGTCTGAGAACCACCTGCCGCTACCCCCGATCCTCGCAGGGCGCCTCGGCCAGCGTGAGCAGCAGGCGCTCCAGGAGCTCGCCGAGGCTCTCCGCGATCGCGGCGCGAACCTCGCCGTCCCCCTCGCGCTCCAGGAACGCCATCAGGCAGCCGCCCACCTCGGGCGAGTCGCAACGGGGGGGGCGAGAAGTGGGAGGGGAGAGGGTCCAGGGCTCCAGGAGAGCAGGGGAACGAAGAATCACATAGACATCGGAGGCGCCGCCAGGGGGGTCCAGCGCGGATCCGAGAAATCCCCGCGGACCTCCGAGTTGTTATGTTTATGTCATTGCTCGTTCCCCTAGACAGGAGCCCCAGCGGCAAAGGGACCGACACGGGGCCCCGAAGGTGTGCCTAGGGTGCGCCTCGCTTCACCCCCCCCGCTGGTCGGCCACACGCAGGCGTGGCCCCAGGCAAGAGTGATCCGTGGGGGCGCAAGGTGGCCAGACACAGACGCGCAAGCAGCCGCTGACGCATCGCGCTGAGCGATCGAGGGGACCCCAGTGAGCCCGCACCAGAGGTCACTCCAGCGAAGGGTCACTCTTGCGTGCAGGCGAGCTTGCTTGAAGTCGGGCGTGTCCCCGTACAGGGGGATTTGGGACGAAACATTAAAAACACAAAAAAACAAAAACAAAAAATAAAAAACGACTTCCTGTTACTATGTTTGAACATTCCCCCCGTAGAGGGACAGGCCTGTACAGGAGGAGGAGGAGGAGGAGGAGGAGGAGGAGGAGGAGGAGGAGGAGGAGGACGAGGAAGAGGACCAGGAGGAGGAGGAGGAGGGGGGGGGGAGGAGGAGGGAGGAGGAGGAGAAGAAGAAGAAGGGCCCCCCCCTTACGAAAAACGCCCGGCCACCCGCGCCCGCACCGGCAGCTCCGGATCCCCAGCGAGGCGAAGACACTCCCGGCACGTGGCCGCCGCTGCACCTCGAGGATGGGATGGAGGAGGAGGAGGAGGAGGAGGAGGAGGAGGAGGAGGAGGAGGAGGAGGAGGAGGAGAGGAGGAGGAGGAGAGGAGGAGGAGGAGGAGGAGGAGGAGGAGGAGGAGGAGGAGGAGGAGGAGGAGGAAGGGGGAGAGGGGGAGGGGGAGGAGGAGGAGGAGGAGGAGGAGGAGGAGGAGGAGGAGGAGGAGGAGGAGGAGGAGGAGGAGGGGAAGGAGGAGCAGGAGGAGGAGGAGGAGGAGGAGGGAGAGGGGGGAGGAGAGGGGAGCAGGAGGAGGAGGAGGAGGAGGAGGAGGAGGGAGGGAGGAGGAGGAGGAGAGAAGGAGGGAGGAGGAGGAGGAGGAGGACGAGGAGGCGCCCCCCCAAAAGAACGTCGAGGAAAAAACATCGTCGGAGATCTTCGTTTGGGCGGCCTCCGAGGTCTCGCGCGAGCTCGGGGTGCCCGCGTGCTCCTCCGCCTCAGGGCGGAAAATGTATCCGTATCCACGGCCTCGCCGGCTGGGCCCCTGGGCCGCGCACCCAGGGATATACGGGGCCTTTTTTCGCGGAGGTCCCGCAGGGACCGTGGCCATACGACCGCGCATCCACGGGATCCAGCTCCCGAGTCTTGACCGCGAGGGCGTGGATATGGATATGTTCGCCGCCCGTGAGGGGGGGGGAGGGGGAGGGGGAGGAGGAGGAGTGGGAGAAGGAGGAGGAGGAGGACGACGACGAGGAGGAGGAGGGGGAGGAGGAGGAGGAGGAGGAGGAGGAGGAGGAGGAGGAGGAGGAGGAGGAGGAGGAGGGAGGAGCAGGAGGAGGAGAAGCAGGAGGAGGAGGATGAGGAGGAGAAGCAGGAGGAGGAGGGGAAAGAGGAGGAGGGGAAAGAGGAGGAGGAGGAGGAGGAGGAGGAGGAGGAGGAGGAGGATATGTTCGCCGCCCGCGAGGGGGGGGGGATAGCACACGGGCGCTCGCGCCTCCCAGCGCCCAAGGCGCCAGCGTATCGAGGACTGCGCCCTGCGGCGCAGGGCGAAACCAGCTGCACGCGGCAGGTCTCGTGCCCTGGGGAAGCCAAAACGTACCGATGCCCCCACTCTTGGGTCGGGCATGTACTCCTACAGGCGGATCTTGAAAGAAGAATTAGAAATAGTCACAGAATACTCCAAAATGGAAAGGGAAGGAAGAAAACGAAAAATCGTCCCCAGATTATTTGTTGACTATTTCTGGATACTCCTCCTGTAGAGGGATGTGCCCGACTCAACCCTACTCCCAGGACCTCTCCTTGGGTGCCTTCTGGCCAGAAGCTCGAGGCGAAGCCAGTAGTGGTGACGAGAGGGCCTCCCAGGAGGCCCCCCAGGGGCGAAAACGAGGCAGTGGTAGCGGTAATTACCGGTACGCATCTGTCTCTACCCACTTCCCGATCCCGCCCTTGCGCCCGACCTGGGCGCCTGGAGGGCCCAGGCGGGCGCGCCTGGCCAACTGGCTGTACACCCAGCACGCCCGCAGCCGCAGAAACGGCACGGGGCCCGACAGCTCGGGGCGCACGTGGTTGTCGAGGAGCTCCGCCACGCTCACCGGGGCCACGCCCGCGTCGCCCTCCCTCGCGGCCGCCTTCTTCTTCTTCTTCTTCCTCTTCTGGCCCGCCTGTGCGGGGTCCAGCTCCAGCAGCTGCTCCCCCATGCATCCCAGCAGCAGCAGCGCCCCGTCCTTGTCGGCGCAGAGCTCCGGGTCGGTGGGGCGGCTCCGCTGCGCCTCCAGGCGCTGGTGGCAGAAGAGCAGCAGCGGCACCAGGACCTCGGACTTCCTGTGGCGCAGGAGCCTCTCCACGAGCTCCGTCGCTGCCACCCTGGGGTCCTGCATGGAGTCCGCGGCGAAGTCGCTCGACATCTGCCGAAGGAGCTCCTCGGGGTCCTCCCGCCACAGTCTGGCGTCCCGCGGCCCGAAGCGCAGCAGCGGGAAGATGCCCGCCACGAGCAGCTCCTGCAGCCTCGGCCGTATTGCCTCGTAGGCGCCGTCGCGACTGCAGGCATCCGCCAGGTTCAGCAGCGCAAGGCTCTGCGAGCGCCGGGGCACCCAGCCGCCGCCCTGGGACGCGCAGGCCTCCCGCATGCACACCTGCGCCGTCGGCGACTCGTACCTGCAGCTCCATGCCTCGGCGAACTGCTCGAAGCCATTCACGCACCGCCGGCGGCTGCCGTGGCGGTGCATGAAGCGGAACAGGATGTGGAACGCCCACTTGCGGCATTTGGCCACGGGGGAGAACTCCAGCGACGCGTCGTCGGCGGAGGTCGGCTGGCCCTGCAGCAGGGCCGGAAGCTCCACGGCACCGAAGACGATCTGCATCCACGCGTCGATGTCCTTCTGGAGGCCCTCGTTGACCGCCATGTAGACGGCCGAGTGCACGCACTTCAGCGCCACCTTGAGCACCTCGAACGCCTCCAGGCGCTGGAGGCCCGGGCGCGCCGCTGCGGACAGCAGCGCCGGAGCCAGCGCGAGCAGCGTGGGCATGGAGCGCGCGGCGAGCTCGTCCAGGTCGCCCCTGGAAAGCGTTCTGCAAGTCTAGGTTTCGGCATTTGGCCGAGGGGTGGAGGAGGGAGGGGTCTGGGTCTGGCAGGTGCTCAGTCGATCTGCTTTTACCAGTCGCGCCAGCAGACTGGGGGGAGTGGTTCTGACCAGTCGCCCAAAGCAGCCGCCAAAAGCGGCCAACGTCTGGTCTACGGGGGGAGGGGGAGGAGGGGGAGGACCCGCGACGATCGGCGAAACCACACATTAAATTATCCCAGTGCGACCCTAACTAGGAGTTGGAGCCCCTAGGAAAGCAGCATAAGCTAAGCTAAGCTAAGCTAAGCTAAGCTAAGCTAAGCCAGGCTAAGCTATGATGAGATAAGCTAAGCTAAGCTAAGCTAAGTTAAGCAAGGCTAAGCTATGATGAGCTAAGCTAAGCTAAGCTAAACTAAGCTAAGCTAAGCTAAGCTAAGTTAGTATGAGTTAAGCTAAGCTAAGCTAAGCTAAGCTAAGCTAAGCTAAGCTAAGCTGGGCTAGGCTACGCTAAGCTAAATTAAGCTAAGCTGGGCTAAGCTAGGCTAGGCTAGGCTAGGCTAAGCTAAGCTAAGCTAAGATGAGATAAGCAAAGCTAAGCTAAGCTAAGCTGGGCTAAGCTAAGCTAAGCTAAGCTAAGCTAAGGTAAGCTAAGGTAAGGTAAGCTAAGCTAAGCTAAGCTAAGGTAAGCTATTTTGCTTAGCACCCAGGGGACTGGGGGAACCGCGGGGCGGATGCGGGGAGCGCTGCCCGGCCCTTTAAGCATACAGGGTAAGAACCCTTCTAGGCAGAGCCTAGGTAGGGAAAAACGGCTACCTGCGCGACAGCGGCCTCATCTCGAGCTGCTTGAACAGCTTCCGCAGCAGCAGCAGGGCGCAGTACGTCTGGGGCGTGTCCTGCGAGCGCAGCCCGGTGACCAGCCGCTCCACCAGGCCAGGCCACCTCTGTGCACCGATTCCCCGATCCGCTGGGTCCTACTGGCCGCGGGTACCACCCTGGATGGGGATGTAGGCTGCTACACTCGGGTTTCGAAGGGCACATCCCCACCTGGAATGGTGGAATGCGGGGACACGGACAGGGATCTGGGGAAACCAAAAGGTACCGATACCGCTACTCCCCGGACCTCTCCAGGGGTGCGTTCTGACCAGAATCTCGAGACGAATCCAGCGGTGGCGACGAGAGCCTCCGAGAAGCCCAAAAAGAGGAACACGGGCGAAGGGAGGTATTGACTACCTACCAGACCACACCAACCCAACCCGAAGACACGAATTTCGGGTTGGGGGGGGTACGGGTTCCATATGTGTTTTTTCAGTGTTCCCAGACCCCCCACCCCACTGGAAACGGAGGGCAAATCGGGGCCTTCGGGTTGGGTTGGGGTGCGTTGGTGGGTGGTGAGGTATGGGTACCTTTTCCTCCTCTGACGGAACCTCTGCGGGAAGTCGTGCAGCGCCACCAGCCGGAAGGCCTCCACGAGCTGCGCGCGCGCCCCCGACGCCTCGAAGGAGCCCGCCAGCCCGTCCAGGAGCTGCCCGCGGACCGCGGCCTTCTCGTCCTCCCCGTAGCCCTCGCCTGGGGCGCAGAAGGGCAGCCAACGGCAGTTTTCGCCAGTCGGCGTTTTATTGTATGTGCGGAGTGTCGAACGCGAGTATTCTAGCCGTTGTTTTTTTACATACATGGGCTCTGCGTCCAGATGGCCAATGGGGATTTTGACGACGGCCCAAAGAAATGGCATACATGGGCTCTGCGTCCAGATGGCCAATGGGGATTTTGACGACGGCCCCCCGCCCTTCCCCCCCCCAAAAAAAGCTCTTCCTTCGCGCGGCCGCATGGGCGTGGAAACCTAAACGCGGAATAGGGAAGCGGCTGCAGTACGATGTGCCTCTGTTGGATGCGCACGCCCGACCCGAACATACAGCAAAAACAGATTGTAGCACCCAGTTTTCGGTGGCAGCTCAGGGGAGCCTCCCATATCATTTGTCGAGGGCTGCGTTTTTTTTTGGGTTGAAAGGGTTTTTTTTCGGGGTGGCGCGCTGCGGAGGCCCCAATCCGAGAAAAAAACCCAACCCGAAAAAAAAAAACGGATGGCGAGTTTTTTCATGGGTTGGGAGGGGTTTTTTTCGGGTTGAGAGGGTTTTTTGGGGGGTTGGGTTTTTGTCCGGGTTGTAGTGGTTTTTTTTCGAGTTGGGCTGCGGAAATTGGAGGATTCAGGGGAGGAGCTCTCGTAGTGCCTCGTCGTCGTCGTCGTCGACGTCGTTGTCGTTCGCCGTCGCCGTCGCCGTTGCCGTTGCCGTCGCCGTCGCCGGCGCCGTCGCCGTCGCAGTTGCCGTCGCCGCTGCAGTCCAAAGTGAACCACAGTGAGCAAGGAGAGGAGGGTGGTCAGGGTGTTGAGCTCTTCTGGATATCATGTTGGAGCACGTTCGCGTGTAATACATTAGTTGCAACACGACGCAACACAATTCTCCAGCGCAAATCGTTTGCAATACAATTGCCCCACATCTATTGCACCACCCCCTTGCAGCTTGGCCCCCTTTTGGGTCGCCCAGCTGAACATCAAACCCAAGAGCCCAGGAAACCAGGATCCCAGGAACCGAGGGACGCAGGTCCTGGGTTCTTGGACTCCTGGATTTAAGCGTAAGAATTCAGAAACCCAGGAAATCAGGAACCCAGGAACTCAGGAATCAAGAACCCAAGAACCCAAGAACGCAGGAACCCAGGAACCGAGGAACCCAAGAACCCGGAGACTCAGGAACGCAGGAACCCAAGAACCGAGGAATTCAGGAACCCAAACCCAAGAATACAGGAACCCAGGGACCAACGAACCCAAGAACCCAAGAACTCAGGAACCCAGGATCCCAAGAACGCAGAATCTCAGGAACCCCAAACTCAAGCACCGAAAAAAACAGGAATTCGAGAAACCAGGAACCCAAGACCGCAGGAACTCAGGAACCTAGGAACCCGAGATCCCAGGAACCCAGGAATCCAAACTCAAGAACCCAAGAACCCAGGAGCCCAGGAACCCAGGAAGCCAAGAAACCCAGGAACCCAGGAGAGCAGGAACTCAGGGACCCAAGAACTCGAGAACTCAGGAAACCAGGAAACCAGGAATCCAGGAACCCAGGAACCCAAGAACCCAGGACCTCAGGAACCCACAAACCCAGGAACCCAAGAACCCAGGAAGCCAGGCACCCAGGAACCAATGAACCCCAGAACCCAGGGACTCAGGAACACAGGAACAGGGAACCCAAACCCAAGGACCTAGGAACGCAGGAACCCAGGAATCGAAGAACCCAGGAACTCAGGAACTGAGGAACGCAGGAACGCAGGAACCCCAGACCCAAAAACCCAAGAACCCAGGAATCCAGGGACCCAAGATCCCAGGAACTCAGGACTCAGGAACCCAAGAACCGAGGAATCCAGGAACGCGCAAACCCAAGCACCCAGGAACCCAGAAACCAAAGATCCAGGAACCCAAGAACCGAGGAACTCAGTATTCCAGGGAAACCAAGAACCCAGAAAGTCCGGAAGTCCAGACCCAAGAGCCCAGGAGCCCAGGAGCCCAGGAACCCAAGAGCGCAGGAACCCAGGAACCCACGAACCTAGGAACTGGGGAACCCATGAACCCAGGAACACAGGAACCCAGGAACCCAAGAACCCAAGAACTCAGGAACCCACGATAACATCAGAACCCAAGAACGCAGGAACCCGGGATCGCAGAAACCAAAAGAAGCAGGACCTAGAAAATCAGGAACCAAGGAATTGAGGAACCGAAGAACCCAAGAACCCAGGAACCCACGAACCCGGCAACTCAGGACATCGGGAACATAGCCACCCAGGAACCCAATAAAGCAGGAACCGAGGATTGCAGGATCCCAGGAACCCACAAACTTAGGGACATGAGATCCAAGGAACCCAGGAGCCCAGAAGCCAAGGAACCCAGGATGATCAAATGCAAGAACTCAGGGTACCAGGACCTGAGGGACCCAGGAACCCAGCCACGCCAAACCAACGAACCTTTGAGTTGGAGATGGAGGAGGAGGAGGAGGAGGAGGAGGAGGAGGAGGAGAAGGAGGAGGCGGAGGACGAGGGGGAGGGGGAGGAGGAGGAGGAGGAACAGGAGGAGGAAGAGGAGGCGGAGGAACACGAGGTGAAGGGCGAGGGGGCGAAGCGGGCACATGTCGGTCCCCGGGGTCACAGGAATGAGCCCACGGCGCGAAATTAAGATCGAGGATGGCTCCGAGAGCTGCTTGGGAATTCCAAGGGCGGATGTCGGGGCTGGGTCCTCACAGGCGGGCGGGTCGGGCGGCTGGCGGGCGGCGGGTCGGGCGGGCGGGACATTTAAGTATAACGCATATGCACCTGATGACGCATGTACCATGTGACACGCGTGGAACCCGAACGGACGAAAAACGGGTCGGGCAGGCGGGGCTTTAACGGGCGGGCGCGGCAGGCGGCTGGCGGGGCCCGAACGGGGCGGGCGGGCGAGCGGGTCGGGCGGGCGGGACATTGAAAATATGGCGCAGATGCAAAGTGCACCAGGTGGCACGCGTGTAACCAGGTGGCATGTGGACGCGTACCAGGTGGCACGCGTGTGACAGTTGACGCGTGTACCACGTGGCACGCGTGGAACCATAATGGGTGGGCGGCGGGTTGAGCTGGCGAGACTGTAATGGGCGGGCGGGCCGGGCAGGCGGCGGGTCCGGCGGGCGGGACATGCAAGTAGGACGCATGTGCGCAGTATGACGCATGTACCAGGTGGCGCGCGTGGAACCCTGACGGGCTGGCGGCGGGTCGTGCGGGCGAGACACTAACAGGCGAGCGGGTCGGGCGGCGGGCGGGGCCCTCGCGGGCGGACTCGGACGGGCGGGACATTACAGTATGACGCATGTACACAGTATGGCGCATGTACCCAGTTGCACGCGTGGAACCCTGACGGGCGGGTGGCGGGTAACGCAGGCGGGAACCCTGACGGGCGGGCGGATCGCGCGGCGGGCGAGCGGCGGGTCAGGCGGGCGGGACGTTCAAGCACAACGCGTATACACATTATGACGCATGTACCAGGTGGCACGCATGGAACCCTCACGGGCGAAAAGCGCGTCGGGCAGGCGGGACCCTAACGGGCGGGCGGGTCAGGCTGCGGGCGGGACCATAACGGGCGGGCGGGTGGCGGGTCGGGCGGGCGGGACATGAAAGTATGGCGCATATGCCAAGTATGACGCATGTACCAGGTGGCACGCGTAGAACCATCACGGTTGGGCTGCGGGTCGAGCAAGCGGACACTAATTGGCGAGTGGGTCGGGCGGGCGGCGGGTCGAGCGGGCGGGAGATCAAAGTAGGACGCATGTGCACATCATGACGCATGTACCAGGTGGCACGCGTGGAACCCTGACGGGCAGGCGGCGGGTACTGCGGGCGGGACCCTAACGGCCGGGCGGGTCGGGCGCCAGGCGGGTCTCTGACGGGCGGGGTCGGGCGGGCGGTACATTCAAGTATGACGCATTTACACATTATGACGCATGTGCCAAGTGGCACGCGTGGAACCCAGACGGACGTGCGGCGGTTCGGGCAGGCGGGAACCCTGACGGGCGGGCGGCTCGGGCGGCGAACGGGCGGCGTGTCGGGCGGGCGGGACATTCAAGTATGACGCATGTGCACATTATGCACATGTAGGAGGTGGCACACGTGGAACCCTAACGGGAGAGGAAAGACCCCCATGAGACCCACAGAGCCTCGGTCCTTCAGGTCCGAAGTGTGAACTCGGCATGAACCTCAACATGAGTTCTGGTTCCTCTCTGGAGATCGGACGCACGACTCACCCGGGCCTGTGATAGCATCTTTGGAGCCATCTTGGAGCATCTTCGACTATCGAGAACAATATTCGACGTCATCTTCGGCTATCTGCGGCTCTCTTGGAGCCGTCTTGGGCGAAAAGGGGCACTCTGACACCTCGCGGGGCGCCCCGCCCAGGTCCCAGGGAAGGGGCAGGGAAGAGGGGTCAACCCCTCCCCGAAGCGGGAGAAGGGGGGTGGAAGAGGAAAGTCCCCAAAACCACCCACGCGCTTCAGGGTCGGTGGGATGGACACGGTAGGTTTCGCGTCTAGTCGACATGGGGTGCGGTGGGCCGCCCACTCCCTCCGCCTCTCTTCTCCAAGGCAACGATAGCGCTGGCGGAGCCGTTCAAGATTGATCACTCCTCTGGGAAACCGTTCAAGGTTGAACATTCCCCTGGGGAGTGGGCGAGGGGGCGAAGCGGGCACATGTCGGTCCCGGGGGTCACAGGAATGAGCCCACGGCGCGAAATCAAGATCGACGATGGCTCCGAGAGCTGCTTGGGAATTCCAAGGGCGGATGTCGGGGCTGGGCCCTCACGGGCGGGCGGGTCGGGCGGCGGGCGAGCGGCGGGTCGGGCGGGCGGGACATTCAAGTATAATGCATATGCACCTGATGACGCATGTACCATGTGACACGCGTGGAACCCGAACGGACGAAAAACGGGTCGGGCACGCGGGGCTTTGACGGGCGGGCGCGGCAGGCGGCTGGCGGGGCCCGAACGGGGCGGGCGGGCGAGCGGGTCGGGCGGGCGGGACATTGAAAGTATGGCGCAGATGCAAAGTATGGCGCGTTCACCAGGTGGCACGCGTGGAACCATAATGGGCGGGCGGCGGGTTGAGCGGGCGAGACTGTAATGGGCGGGCGGGCCGGGCAGGCGGCGGGTCCGGCGGGCGGGACATGCAAGTATGACGCATGTGCGCAGGATGACGCATGTACCAGGTGGCACGCGTGGAACCCTGACGGGCTGGCGGCGGGCAACGCAGGCGGGAGCCATGACGGGCGGGCGGATCGTGCGGCGGGCGAGCGGCGGGTCAGGCGGGCGAGACGTTAAAGTACAACGCGTATACACATTATGACGCATGTACCAGGTGGCACGCATGGAACCCTCACGGGCGAAAAGCGCGTCGGGCAGGCGGGACCCTAACGGGCGGGCGGGTCAGGCTGCGGGCGGGACCATCACGGGCGGGCGGGTGGCGGGTCGGGCGGGCGGGACATTAAGATATGGCGCAGATGCCAAGTATGACGCATGTACCAGGTGGCACGCGTGGAACCATCACGGTCGGGCTGCGGGTCGAGCAAGCGGACACTAATGGGCGAGTGGGTCGGGCGGGCGGCGGGTCGAGCGGGCGGGAGATTGAAGTAGGACGCATGTGCACATCATGACGCATGTACCAGGTGGCACCCGTGGAACCCTGACGGGCAGGCGGCGGGTCGTGCGGGCGGGACCCTAACGGCCGGTCGGGTCGGGCGGCGGGCGGGTCTCTGACGGGTGGGGTCGGGCGGGTGGTACATTAAAGTATGACGCATTTACACAATATGACGCATATACCAAGTGGCACGCGTGGAACCCAGACGGACGTGCGGCGGTTCGGGCAGGCGGCAACCCTGACGGGCGGGCGGCTCGGGCGGCGAACGGGCGGCGGGTCGGGCGGGCGGGACATTAAAGTATGACGCATGTGCGCAGCATGACGCATGTACAAGGTGGCACGCGTGGAACCCTAACGGGCGAAAGGCGGGTCGTGCGGGCGAGACCCTAACGGCCGAGCGGGTCGGGCGGCGGGCGGGGCCCTCGCGGGCGGACTCGGACGGGCGGGACATTAAAGTATGACGCATGTACACAGAATGGCGCATGTACCAAGTTGCACGCGTGGAACCCTGACGGGCGGGCGGCGGGCAACGCAGGCGGGAGCCCTGACGGGCGGGCGCATCGTGCGGCGGGCGAGCGGCGGGTCAGGCGGGTGGGACGTTAAAGTACAACGCGTATACACATTATGACGCATGTAACAGGTGGCCCGCATGGAACCCTCACGGGCGAAACGCGGGTCGGGCAGGCGGGACCCTAACGGGCGGGCGGGTCAGGCTACGGGCGGGACCATCACGGGCGGGCGGGTGGCGGGTCGGGCGGGCGGGACATTAAAGTATGGCGCAGATGCCAAGTATGACGCATGTACCAGGTGGCACGCGTGGAACCATCACGGTCGGGCTGCGGGTCGAGCAAGCGGACACTAATGGGCGAATGGGTCGGGCGGGCGGCGGGTCGAGCGGGCGGAACATTAAAGTAGGACGCATGTGCACATCATGACGCATGCACCAGGTGGCACACGAACCCGAACCCTGTAACGCTGACCCTGACACCTGAAGCCGAACCCTCCCCCCCAGTTCTGACTTAAACGGAATCAACCGAACGCCCGAAACGGAACGCCCAAACCCGAGCCCCAACCCCGAATCGTAAGACCCAAACACGAACAACGTGACCCGCACATCCGAGCCCGAATACCGAAATACGAACCCGAACACCCGAAGTCCAGGTAACCGCGCCGAAATGCCCGAGGGCCGAAAGCAGCAAAACCCGGGAACCCTGGACCCGGAAGGCCCCAGCAGCCGAAGGCCCGAATGCCTGAACATTCGGAAACACGAAAACTCGAATACACAACTCGAGCCACCCAACCCGAGAAAATAACCTCACAACCCGCAGAAACCCTAACACCCGAAGTCCAGGTAACCGCACCAAAATGCCCGAGGGCCGAAAGCAGCAAAACCCCGAAACCATGGACCCCGAAGGCCCCAGCAGCCGGAAGCCCGAATGCCTGAACATTCGGAAACCCGAAGGCTCGAATACCCAACTCGAGCCACCCAACCCGAGAAAATACCCTCGCAACCTGCAGAAAAACCCAACCCGAAAAAATACCCCCCCAACTCGAAAAAAACCCGGCCAACCCGAACAAAAAAAACGCGGAGGGTTTTTTCGGGTGGAGGCCGGGTTTTTGTTTGGGGCTGGAGCCGAAAACCGAAAAAAAAACCTTTCAACCCGAAAAACAACCCAGCTCCTATGATCCTTGCGAATCGACGCTAATCGACGCTAGTCGACGCTAGTCGACGCTAAATCGACGCTAAATCGACGCTAATCGCGCTAGCCGACGCTAAATCGGCGCTATCTGATCGACTCCCAGACGCTAACAGACGCTAATCGACGCTAAAAACGGAATTAACAGAGTACGCCAGGCTCCCATGATTTGCGACCGAACCAATTTCCCTAGTTGTATAGCCCCAATGCGACCGCCACCGAGCATAGATCATAAGATTCCCCAGCGCGCGGATTACCCCCTTGGGGGGAGCGCGCACAAAGTAGTAATATGTTTGGTTGACGCCGATCACCAGCAGCCTCTCCGACCGGCTCCCAGCGCGTCTTCACCTGAGCGACACAGAAGACAACGGGTCTGAACCGCGAGAGGGTACGGATGCAGCTGATGCCGAAACAACGCGGATCCAAACTTTGCGTTCCAGAATACGAGGTGATGCAATCTATCTGGTGCAAGCAATGTGGCGCAGGCGATATGGTGGAAGCTACGTGGTCCAATCTACATGGTGCAATTACTGCGAGCCAAATGCAGTGCGATAAATATGGTGTGATCTATGTGGTGTGAACTATGTGGCGCAGTAGATGTGGTGCAGTAGATGTGGCGCATGAAACGTGATGCAAGCTATGCGAAGCAATCCATGTTAAGCAACCCGATGTGGTGCATTTACTTTCTGTCCGCAGTGAGTTGTCCACTGCACTGCTCGCGCAATCATCCCACCCACCCACCCGTATCTTGGTTTGCAAAACCTATGCAGCGTCGATTGCGATGAGTGCTTGGAGTTGGCTGGTGCATCTCTGCGGCCGCGCTAGCCCGCGCATGCTCGCAGTCGCAGCGGCCGGCTAGTTTGGCGCGACCGAGGCGACCGCGGTGGCGCTGACCGCTGGGTACTTCCAGGCGGGCACTTCAGTGCGAGTCGGTGACTTGGGCGGGCGCGGTATCATGGCAACGTCGACAACGGTAGACGCGATTATGATGGTAGCGATGCTGGTAACGATGATGCCAACGACGACGACAAGGCCTGTGACGGCGCCGATTCTGATCACGCCGACGACGATGACGGTGTCCTCGCGTCGGTGGTGAAGGTTTGGGGGGACTTCGACACGCGCGCGCGGCCGACGCACGAGAGTGGCCCGCCTGGAATTATTTGACACGGATCCTGCCCCCCCCCAGCACGCGCGCAAGGGCGTTCGAATGACTTCGACGTGCGGCGCGACGGGCTGAGTTCCATGAAAATGTTGAAAACGCATGGCTTTCTAAAAAACTCGCCGGGGCGCGAGCGCCGGCATGCAGTGCTGTGCATGAAGTTATCCATGGCGTTCCCGCCGTCCCACGAAACATCCGGAACTGACCCACATGTCTCTCCAACAACACCAACAAGTGACCAACCATTCCGCACAAGACAGTTCCACGAACGATCAAATTCAAGGGGTCAGCGGGTGTGGCGCAAGCCTGTAGAATCATATGTAATACTATCCCAGGGGGTAGCGATAAACCTGGGAGGCATGTCAGAATTCAGTTTTAGAAAGGAGGCTCTATGTGATAAAATGTGGTGCACGCTATGTGGTTCAAGCTGTGTGTTGCAATTTACGTGGTGCAAGCTATGTGATACAACCAACAGGGTGCAATTAATGCAAAGCAATGAGAAGCAATGGAAAGCGATGCAAAGCAATGCAAAGCAATGCAAAGCAACGCAGAGCAGTGCGAAGCAATGCAAAGCAATGCAAAGCAACGCAAAGCAATGCAAAGCAATGTAAAGCATCACTGCAGGCCCAAACGACGGGCGCGACGAAGCGGCGGCGGGGCGGCGACGGGGCGGCGAGGGAGCGGCGACGGAGACAACGTAGCAGCCAGACCGACCCGCAGGCCCAGACGACGGGCAGCGACGGGGCGGCGACGGGGCGGCAACGGCGACGACATAGCCGCCACCCTGGCCCGCACGCCCAGTTCTTTAGAA